AACATCAATATAACTTAGCTTCCTTATCTATCAATGGAGATTTGAAGAGTAAATATATTTTATGTGAGTGCTTAATACAGTGCTTTATACATAGTGAGTATTATGTATGTTATAGAAGGTTTAGCTATTATTATTGATTGTTTTTGGAGAAAGTCAGTTGAATAACATCAGTTCTTATTTACTTTACCTGTGTTTGATCTACCTATTCCTTTTTTTTTTTTTTTTAAAGATTTTATTTATTATTTGACAGACGGAGATCACAAGTAGGCAGAGAGAGAGGAGGAAGCAGGCTCCCGCTGAGCAGAAAGCCTGATGCGGGGCCCGATCCCAGGACTCTGGGATCATGACCCGAGCCGAAAGCAGAGGCCTTAACCCACTGAGCCACCCAGGCGCCTCTGCCTATTCCTTTTTATTAAAATGGCCAATTTCTTTGTTTCCTTGAAATTATAGCAGCCTCTGTCTCTTGAGGTACACTGTCTTGGTGATGAATTAGACCACTAAATTCCACTTACATTTTCTTTTGATAAGTAGGATTCTAGTGTTAAGGGATATTAATTCACTTTGTTAATACTAGTTTTATAATTGCAAAATCAGTATGACACAGTGCGAGCACTGATTCTCTTGTTGGGTTATTGCCATCTTTGCATTGCCTTGTGCCATACTGTATTAGAGGGATGAGTTAATCACCTTTCCTGTATGGTCTGTTCCCCTGATGCTTGATAACTTGGCTGATGGCCCTTTTGACAAAGACTGTAGCCAGTTTCCTACAGCTGAGTAACCTTTTACAACTGTTTAAATAAATCACTTTTTAAAAACAGTTAAAACATTCCAAGTGTGAAAGAAAAATGCTTTTTATTTCCAAGTGTAAAGTAAGTCCCCCTTAATATTATTTTTTGAAGCAAATGTTTGTGTATTTTGAAATTTTAAAAAATTCTATGAAATGGAATTTATCATTGCACTGAACTTTCATAAACTACTTGTTTAAGAACTGGGTGGCTCAGCTCAAGTCATGATCTCAGAGTTCTGGGATTGAGCCCTGCATCGGGCTCTCTGCTCAGAGGGGAGCCTGCTTACCCCTCTCTCTCTGCCTGCCTCTCTGCCTACTAGTGATCTCTCTCTCTCTGTCAAATAAATAAATAAAATCATAAAAAAAAAAAAAGAATTAGGGGACCTGGGTGGCTCAGTTGGCTAAGCAACTGCCTTTGGCTTAGGTCATGATCCTGGAGTCCCGGGATTGAGTCCCACATCGGGCCCTCTGCTCAGCAGGGGAGTCAGCTTCTCCCTCTGCCCCTTGCCCCTCTCGTGTTCTCTCTCTCAAATAAATAAAATCTTAAAAAAAAAAAAATTACTGGTGGGCGCCTGCGTGGCTCAGGCAGTTAAGTGTCTTCCTTCGGCTCAGGTTGTGATCCTGGGGTCTTGGGATTGAGTCCGATGTTGGGCTCCCTGCTTGGCAGGGGGTCTGCTTCTCCCTTCACCCCTCCCCTGTTCCTGATTGTTCTCTCTCTCTCTCATGCTCGCTCTCAAATAAACAAATAAAATTGAAAAAAATATTACTAGTGACAGTGGATAACAGAAATGAATTTTGTGAAAAAGCAAAACTTATTACAAAATTTTTTAAACTTAATTGCACAAGCAAGTATGTTTCAATCTGTTTATTTTTATTTTGCTTTTGTTTCAGCTTAACTAGGCAGCGTTGAATTATTTTTGTGTTATCAGATTTCATAATTAAAGTAGCTAAAATACTGTATTGTGAAATGAGAGGCCATCCATTTTGGAATAGCTCTGAAAAGCTCTCTGTACCTAAAAACTACACTGTTCATTTGAATTGTTCCGTGATAGCTCTTTAAAATTTAATTATGTTTATGTTTATGATCAGATATGATTAAATCCATCAAAGATTGGGAACAAATGATTCCGTGTTTGGAAGTACTTAAATCCTGATTGGAGTGATGTGTGGAAGTACTTAGATTTTTTTTTTATTTTTTTATTTTTTATAAACATATAATATATTTTTATCCCCAGGGGTACAGGTCTGTGAATCGCCAGGTTTACATACTTCACAGTGCTCACCATAGCACATACCCTCCCCAATGTCCATAAGATTTTTTTTTTTTTAAAGGAAGCTGTTTATCTCCCTTTTTCCAAAATTTATGAGAAATATTACTCTTTATACTTTTTGATCAGTATTTTTATTAGAATTTTATTGTTTTTAAATTATAAAAAAGTACATGTCCCAGAGTATTAAAAAAGGATACTGTATTGATACTCCCAACATTTAAGAAGAAAACATAACCAGAACATAAGAAAATAATGAAGTAAAAAAAAAGTTAATTTTTAAAACAAGATTTATTTATTGATTTATTTTTAGAGAGAGAGAGAGAGAGAGAGACAATGAATGGGAGGGAGAGGGGGAGAGAGAATCTCAAGCAGACTCCCCACTGAGCATGGAGCCTGATGCAGGGCTGGGTCTTATGACCCTGAGATCTGACCAGGAGTCAGACACTTAACCAACTGCACCACCCAGGTGCCCCTAAAAGGTTAGTTTTTAGTATGAGCTAAGAATGAGTTAATGCAGCTAAATGATAACCTTTGTTGAAAAAAGAAAGCTATCTTGAGTAACAGGGTAGCAACAAAGAAATAAACTTATTGATTTATCTACATTATCAAATCAATTTTTTTTTAAAGATTTTATTTATTTATTTGACAGAGATCGCAAGTAGGCAGAGAGACAGGCAGAGAGAGAGGTGGAAGCAGGCTCCCCGGGGAGCAGAGAGCCCGATGCGGGGCTTGATCCCAGGACCCTGGGATCATGACCCAAGCCAGAGGCAGAGGCTTTAACCCACTGAGCCACCCAGGCACCCCTCAAATCCATTCTTTTGACAGCCTTTTTTTTTTTTTTTTAAGATTTTATTTATTTACTTGACAGAGCGATCACAAGTAGGCAGACAGGCTGGCAGAGAGAGGGGGAAGCAGGCTCCTTGCTGAGCAGAGAGCCTGGTGTGGGCCTCGATCCCAGGACTCTGGGACCATGTCCTGAGCTGAAGGCAGAGGCTTAACCCACTGAGCCACCCAGGCGCCTCCTGACAGCATTTTTATTTATATGGGAATTTTCTCCCTGCATTGTCTTGGGCTGTTATTTTAATAAGCTAGTGTTTAAACTTTTTTCTTAAAACCTGATAGGGTGGAAATGGCATATTAACTTGTACAGGACTAGAATGCTGTCAGTTTATTAACCATGTATGTTTGTAGGTGGAGTAAAAGTATTTAGGGATAATTTAACTAGTTCTTCCTTGAAGTCTCAGCCATGCCCAAACCTCGTAAGGGTAGGATTTCAGTTCTGATAACTGTTCTTTGCCAGACACAGTAATATTTCTCCCTCAGTGGCATTAGGCGATGGGTATAAATTGAATCAGGATAGATGGATGGTTGCCATGAATATAATTATGCTGCATTTGAATCCAAAGAGCAGATAACAGCTGAGTCAGCAGTTCGGTTGCAGTTGTAGAAATAAATTCACTGCATTGCCACATAGTCCTATTTTATTGGAGGGAATATTTACTGATTTGTGCTATCATCAATAACATTTAATGAAATTATTTTAAATGTTATAAAGTTGAGGGAGGATTTAAAGCTGTAATGAAAAGTAACCATCTCATGTTTCTGTGCAAAGTTTTCTTACTGTGTACCTATTTGTTTTACTTGTCATCATTAGCTTAGCAAGCTTTTAACTAAATTATTAACTAATAATTAACTGTTCTGTAAAAGGATATCACAGGTAACCCCCCAAAAAAAGTATGCCATGTAGGTATTTATATGCATTCAATGAATGCTTGATATATACAGAGTACCAACATATAATCTTAGCCACATACAAGCTGACTAACTTCAGGCAAATTGCTTCACCTCTAATACTTGGTTTTCTCATGTGTAAAATATGGATAAAGACAATACTTATAGGGTTATTATGGGAATTAAGTGAGTTAATACATGGCAGAGGTTATGCTTAGTGGTCAGTGAATGTTAGCTGTTCCTCTTGTGTAATTAATTATAGATCAGTGAAAATTCTTATGTATTCTCTAGCCTTATGGCTAAGCTTCTAGAAAAGATGCTTAGCTCATTGAGAGCTAACGTATGTGATGATTCATTTCACTCTTCCATTAGGTTACCTAAATTTCTTGCTGGTTATATAACAACTTTGTTGAGGCTCCAACTTAAGTTCTATAAAGGCAAATAAGGTCTGCTTTGCTTTGAAGTATCTTATTTTGGAACTTGTATAAGAAGTGAGTAAGAGGGGTGAATTCCCTAAGTAACTCTAAAAAGAGGGAGATTTTTAGTTTTTCCCTTGTTTCTTGGCATAAGGAAACTATTTGGGGTTCATAAGTCAAATCATCTTTGTGAGGTTAGAAATGTGTTTGGGAAAACATAATGAAAAGTTATTCTATTTTTATATGTATTTTATACCTCTGTCATCACCCTTTTATTGCGTCAGTAATTCAGTTTGTGTACTAATTTATTTATTAAAATAACATTAAGTACTGTGAAATTCTGTCATCTTCACAAAATGGTAGAAGGAAGATAGAAGTTATGAAAAGATTATTTGGTAATTCTCTTTTGACATAATTTTTAATATACCAAACCATTAAGTCTTTCCTTACTACTTTTATAATTTAACTTGTTAGCCTTTATAGTTGGGTAAGTTGTAATATGGTTACTGAAGTTGAATTAAAAACCTATCAAGTTTCAAGGAATAAAACAACTGTCTGTAAGCAGAATTCGGTAGCTATGCATGGTTCTCTACCACTTGTAATTTGATATGTCTTGGTAATGACTTTATCTGGATGTAGAGCCTAGTACAGTTTGAGGGCATTTCAAGTAGATCTCTTATTCTTGTAGACTCAATGACTTTAGAAATAGAAAAAAAACTCTGGAATGTTGTCACTGTAAATGTCACAGGGATAGGCAAATAGTCTTACTAACCAAATACTCACTTTTTTCCGTAGTATTGAATTTGACCGGGATTGTGACTATTTTGCAATTGCTGGGGTTACAAAGAAAATTAAAGTCTATGAATATGGCACAGTCATTCAGGATGCGGTGGATATTCATTACCCTGAAAATGAAATGACCTGCAATTCCAAAATCAGGTACTTAGATTATTTATTTTTTTTTTTACATAATGCAATGTGTATATAACCTTGAATATCTATGATTCAAATGAGTTTGTTAATTTATCGTTCTGTGAGACTGCTTATTCACTCATGGTAAACACTAATTGTATACAAAGGATACTTTAGAATCTTACAGATATTCATTGCTTTTTCCCTGTGGGGGTTACTAGTCATTGTTTTTCTGTTTGACAAATGAAAATCTTCTCTTTGTTCACTTAATCACTCAATCAAATAAAAATTTTTGTTGTGGGGCGCCTGGGTGGCTCAGTGGGTTAAAGCCTCTGCCTTCGGCTCAGGTTGTGGTCTCAGGGTCCTGGGATCCAGCCCCGCATCGGGCTCTCTGCTCAGCGGGGAGCCTGCTTCCCCCTCTCTCTCTGCCTGCCTCTCTGCCCACTTGTGATCTCTCTGTGTCAAATAAATAAAATCTTTAAAAAAAAAAAAAAATTTTTGTTGTAATTGACTTTCATGGGGTATTGAATAAAGGATTACTGTAGCCTATAAATAGTGTCTGAAAGTCAGGAATTTTCTCCCTAGCATGTGCATGTCTCCAAATTTTATAATTGTTTATAATTTAAGAATTCTTTTTTTTAAATTTTTTATTTTTTATTAACATATAATGTATTATTAGCTCCAGGGGTACAGGTCTGTGAATCGCCAGGTTTACACACTTCACAGCACTCACCATAGCACATCCCTTCCCCAATGTCTGTAAAGAATTCTTTTTATAAGAACATTCTGCTGCTTTTCATTGAGGGCCTAATATTTAAGTTTCATATAGTAAGGGTTAAAGTTCATAATGAGTGCTTTTCAAATCTGGAATACTGTTAAAAATGCAGAAACTAGAAATTAGATCAGATCTGTCTCCCCCAAATCTTAGGGACATCTTAGAATCTGTATTGTTAAAACAAGCTTCCTGAGCTATTCTCATTGGCACTGGCTTAAAATGGAATACAAGGAAATCATCTAATAATAAATTTATTTAGAGCTTTGAACATTTTCCAGTTATCCTTATAATCTTTTTTACCTGAATGAATGACATACGTAGTCTGGTTCTAATGCAGTCTGTTCGGAATCTTGCCCTGTAAAAATCTGAGGCACCCAGGCACCCCCCTTCATAGGACTATACTTTAAATAAATCCATGCAATGCACTCAGCACAATACTTGGCCATTATCAAGAATCATAGTAAATGTTACTGTAATGACAAACACCTTTACTGTCTCGATACATGTAAAATTATGGCAATAGTTCATGGCATGTTGGAGTACGGAAGAAGCTGTTCAAGGCTGAAAGCTATGGGATTAGGATTGAAAGGACCAATGTGTGAGAATGCCTAAAGCTAATTTGGAGCACACCAGTTGTGAAAGTTACCTAGATTACCGAGAACCACAGCTAGTAAGCGGAAGATCTGGGATTTGAGTTCAAGTCTATCTAACTCTAAAATTTAGCTCTTTTAACTATCCATCTAACTTCTCCTGGAAATCCAGTAAATATATGTAAACATGCAAATGAACTCTTAGAGTCTCTGAAATTTAACATAAATACAGCCAGTAGAGAGTAAAAGACTATTGTTTTCATGTGCTTTGAAGCCATCTAGGTTAATTGCTTTACTAAGTGGCTTTTATCCTTAATACACATTAGTTTTACTACATGATTGATGTATGTGTCTCACTGAAAGCATACATTTTTAGATGTTGGAGTCTTAGTTTTGGAGCACTTGAGAATAGCTGAAACTGTAAGATGTTAAAAGCTTAATTGTAAATGTTATATTCAGTAATAAGCTTATATTAGTTGTTTTGTTTTGTTTTGTTTTGTTTTTTTTGGATATAAATACAGAAACCCAATTCAAATTAATTTATTTGCTTATATGATTCAGCTCAGCTTGATCCAGGGGCTTACACAATTTGATCAGGTCTCTGTCATTGTGCTGTGGCATGCTTTGTGCTCTGTTGGCCTCTGTTTTCACGCACAGACATGCTCTCCTCATGTATGAAAGATGGCCATTGGTGGCTCTAGGCTCATGTCCATCTTTTGGCTGGTGATCAGAGTGAATAGTGGGAAGGGTTGTTATTTGGTAGTTCAATCCAAAAACTTGGCAGTTACTTGATACATTTTGTCCCAGCTGTGTTGTGGGCTGATTAATGATATGAAGTCATGTAGACGATTTGAAAAGTGTTCTAATCTTTCTGCACACTTCAAAATTCTTCGTATTCATTGTTATTTATTTCTACATAAAATAAGGCTTAACTGTATTTCTTTCTTTCAGCTGTATCAGTTGGAGTAGTTACCATAAGAATCTGTTAGCCAGCAGTGATTATGAAGGCACCGTCATCCTATGGGATGGATTTACAGGACAGAGGTCAAAGGTCTATCAGGTAAATTAGAGTACTAGTCGTTTGTTTTTAAGAATCACGTTTTTACTTCATAATTGCTGTTACAGTTACAAGTTTATAATTACAAATTTTAAGCCACTATTTGGCATTTTTTAGACCTATATAATAGCAAATAATGCTTTTCATTACAAGTTTAAAGCCTCTAGCATTTTTAATCCCTCTGTAATAGGAGATAATGCTTTTCTGAAGCATCACTTCAGACTTGTTTTGCATTTGTAGAATGTGTCAAATGGATTTCCAAAAGCAATAAAATATGTATATATAAAAACTTTGGGAATTACTTCGCATCTCATTTGTTTTCATGGCCTGTTCTCTCTTCCTCTCACCAGAGCCATAAATTGGTATCAGGCTTTTTCTTTATTTAAGATCTATGTTTTGTCTAAGACTACTTTGTCTTTCTTCTGTATCCAGGAGCACGAGAAAAGGTGTTGGAGTGTTGACTTTAATTTGATGGATCCTAAACTCTTGGCTTCTGGTTCTGATGATGCAAAAGGTACTATTTGAATCTCTTCTGCTTTCCCTCATGTCCTTACCCCCAACTTAATTCCTTTTATTAGGAGAGATGCAGATAGTTATTAAAAATCATAGCAATCCTCTGTGATTATTACTCTAAAAATAATGTACGTACAACAATCTTTATATCTTTTTGAGTGAAAAAAATTAATATACTACGTCTTCATTATAATAATATTTTCTGGATTCATGTCATATGGTGACATATTTATAACCAATTTCTTTATATATAACATCAAATAAACTTTTTTTGCTGAAATATTTAGACATATCTCTTTTATTTTTTTTATTTTTATTTTTGTAAGATTTTACTTATTTATTTGACAGAGTATACAGAGAGGCAGGCAGAGAGAGAGAGAGAGAGAGGGAAGCAGGCTCCCTGCTGAGCAGAGAGCCAGATGCGGGACTCGATCCCAGGACCCTGAGATCATGACCTGAGCCGAAGGCAGTGGCCTAATCCACTGAGCCACCCAGGTGCCCCAGACATATCTCTTTTAAATTATATTCAATTTCTAGTGTATACTAAAGTTTTTCAGTGAAGTTTGTCAATTTTCAAGGGAAACTTCTACATCTGCCAATTTAATTGACCTCTTCTGTTTTTTCTTATATATCCCTGTTTACTATTCATGTTTTTTAGTTATCCTTACTGTTTTGTCCTAGTTCTCCCCACCATTAGATTTATAAAGCCCTGTTAACAGATTTCTCTTATCTTAAAGTTAATGGCCTTAATTTTTTTGCCATTCTTTTCTACCTATAACTTCCAGACTAGTGATTAGTTAGGCAAAGATAGCTCTAGTGTTGAAAAGTCTATTTCATAATGATAGTGCATGCCCTATTCTGTAAGTGGAAAGTGAACATGACTGGACTTTGCCCCCAAACATCAAAAAGTAGCAAGTTGTTTACCCATAGTATTTTTAAATTGAAATACCTTTCTTCTTGATTGTTTTAACAAATTATTCTTGAATTCTAAAATATTTAGAGCAGCATATGACAGTCGATATTTGTATGTAGGGGTACAAAGTTTCACTAATGTAAAATGTTTTTCCTCATAGTATATGAGGATAGCTTTTATTGAGTTGAATACTTGTAATTTTGTACTGAAGATTAATATTTATTCAAAGGTGGTGACTGTTCAGAGTCTTCCTCTGGAAAATAGAAGCCATTCAAAACAATTTAAGAAGAAAGAAGTAGAAAGGGATTTTTAAAGTTATTTATTCATGTTAAATTGTATTAAAATGTACATAACATAAAGTTAACCATTTTAACCATTTTGTGTGTACTGTTCTGTGGCATTAAGTACATTCACACTCTGCTGTACAATTTTCACTATCATCAGTCCATAGAACTTTTTTCATATCACCAAACTGAAACTGTACCCATTAAATGCAACTCCCCATTTCCCCTTTGCCAGCCCTTTGCAGTCATGTTTCTACTTTCTGCCTCTATGAAACTGAGTACTTAAAACTGTCTCATAGGAGGGGAATCACACAATGTCCATTTGCAGTTGCCTTATTTCATTTAGCCTAAAGTCTTCAAGGTTCATCCATCTTCTAGCATGCATCAAAATTTCTTTTACAAGGCTAAATTATAATCTGTTGTATGAATGCATTACATTTTGTTTATCCGTTCATTCATTGATGGATAGACATTTGGGTTACTTCTATCTTTTGGGCTCTTGTGAATAATGCTGCTATGAACACGAGTGACAAAATATTTTTCATGTCTTGGTTTTAGTTCTGGGTATATACTCAGAAATGGAATTGCTGGATCATATGGTACTTACATGTTTACTTTTTTGAGGAACCATCATTCTCTTTTCCATAGTGGCTGTACCATTTTACATTTCCACCAGCAATGCCTATTTCATTTTCTCCATACCTTCACCAACATGTTATTTCCTTCCTTCCTTCCTTCCTTTCCTTCCTTCCTTCCTTAATACCAATAACTTTAATAATGTAAAGTGGTATCTTATTGTGGTTTTGCTTTGTATTTCCCTAAATGATAGTGATGTGTTAAGTATCTTTTGTGTGTTTATTGGTCATTTGTATGTCTTCTTCAGAGAAATGTTTATTCAAGTCCTATGCCCATTTTTTAATTAGCTTTTTGTTTGTTTGTTTTTGCTGTTGAATTGTAGGAGTTCTCTGGATATTAATTCCCTTAATCAGATACATGATTTATTGATAGTGTGTTTTTATGCACAAAATTTTTCATATTGATGAAGTCCCAATCGTCTCATTTTCTTTTGTTGCCTGTGACATCCTATCCAAGGATTCATTCATTACACTATGTTCAGTGTAATGAAGATTTTTGCCCTTTGTTTTCTTCTAAGAGGGTTATAGTTTTAGCTCTTACATGTCTTTGATCCATTTTGAGTTAACTTTTGTATATGGTGTAAAGTTCTGACTTCATTCTTTCACATGTGAATATCCATTTTTCCTAGCACCACTTGTTAAAAAGATTGTCTTTTCCTCATTGAAAGATCTTGGCACCCTTGTCAAAAATCATTTGATTATGCCTTCAAGGCTTTATTTCTGGAGTCTTTGCTGTTGGTTGGTCTGTTTTTCCTTATGCCACTATTGCACTGTTTTATAGCTTTGTTTAGAAATCAGGAAGTGTGACTCCTCCATCTTTTTTCTTTTTTTCAAGATTGTTTTGGCTATGTAGGGTCTGCTAAGATCCCATATGAATTTTAGGTGGATTTTATTTTATTATTTCTTTTCTTCTGCTTACTTTGGATTTAATTTGCTCTTCTTTTTCTAGTTTCCTAAATTAAAAGCTTGGGTTATTGATTGTAGATCTTTTCTCTTTGCTAATATATGCATTTAATGTTATAAATGTCCCTTTAAGTGTTGTATCCCACAAGCTTTTTATTTTTATTTTTATTTTTTTAAAGATTTTTTTTAATTTATTTGACAGATCACAAGTAGGCAGAGAGGCAGGCAGAGAGAGACAGGAGGAGGAGGCAGGCTCCCTGCTGAGCAGAGAGCCCGATGCGGGACTCGATCCCAGGACCCTGAGTTCATGACCGGAGCCGAAGGCAGAGGCTTTAACCACTGAGCCACCCAGGCGCCCCGTATCCCACAAGTTTTAAGTTTTATTTTAATTTTCCTTTATTTGAAAATATTTAAAATTGTTTTTGAGATTTCTTATTTGACTTATATATTATTTGGAAATGTGTTGTTTAATCTCTAGGCATTTTGGAATTTTCTAGCTGTCTTTCTGTTACTGATTTCTAGTTTAATTTCATTGAAGTTTAAGAGATACATTATTTAATTTCTCCTATTTTAAATTTGTTACGGTCTGTTTATAGTCCAGAATGTGGTCTGTCTTGGGGAATATCTCATGTGAGTTTGAGAAGAATGTATATTCTAGTTAGATAAAGTAGTCTGTAGACATCATTTATATTCATTTGATTGATGGTGTTTTCAATTCAGCTGTGTCCTTACTGATTTCTCCCTGCTGATTCTGTCCATTACGGATTGAGGAGTATGTATTTTTCAGATTCTACATTGATCTATGTATTTCTTCTTTTTCTATAACCCATTGTCTTGATTTGTGGTTTTACCGTAATTCTTTTTTTTTTTTTTTTTTAAGATTTTATTTGTTTATTTGATAGAGAGAGATCACAATTAGGCAGAGAGGCAGGCAGAGAGAGAGAGAGGGAAGCAGGCTCCCCGATGAGCAGAGAGCCCGATGCGGGACTCGATCCCAGGACCCTGAGACCATGAGCTGAGCCGAAGGCAGAGGCCTAAACCACTGAGCCACCCAGGCGCCCTTACCGTAATTCTTGAAGTCTAGTAGTATGAGTCTTACATCTACGTTCTTGAAAATGATTTTAGCCCTGGACTTCCTCTGCTCTTCCATATACATTCTAGAATCAGGTTGCCAGTACTTACGGAAGATCCTGCTGAGATTTTTATTAAGATAGTATTGAATCTGTAGATCATTTGGGGGAAAATTGATACCATAAAAGTTGAGATTTGGGGGCACCTGGGTGACTTAATCGGTTAAGCATCTGCCTTCGGCTCAGGTCATGATCCCAGGGTCCTGGGATGGAGCCCTGCATTGGTCTTACTGCTCCGTGGGGAACCTGCTTCTCCCTCTCCCTCTGCCTGCTGCTCTGCCTGCTTGTATTCTCTCTCTCTGTCAAATAAATAAATAAAATCTTCAAAAAAAATTGAGGTTTCTATTCCATGAACATTTTTTTTAACGGTTTTATTTATTGGGGCACCTCGATGGCTCAGTCTTTAGGCATCTGTCTGCCTTCAGCTCTGGTCAAGATCTCATGTTCCTGGGATTGAGCCCCAGGTCGGTCTCCCTGCTCATTGTGAAGCTTGCTTCTCCTTCTCCCACTCCCCTGCTTGTGTTCCCTTTCTCGCTGCTTCTGTCAAATAAATAAATAGAATCTTAAAAAAAAAAAAAAAGATTTTATTTATTGATTTGACAGAGAGAGCACAAGCAGGGGGAGCTGTGGAGGGAGAGGGAGAAGCAGGCTCCCCACTCAGCAGGGAGCCCAACATGGGGCTCAATTCTAGGACCCTGGGATCATGACCTGAACCAAAGGCAGATGCTTAACTGACTGAACCACCCAGGTGCCCCTCCATGAACACAGTTTATATCTACCAAATTCAGTGTTAAGAAAAAATTTTTAATACTTTTATAGTTTTCACCATATAGATCCTATACATTATTACAACTAAAGAGTTTGTGCTATTGAAAATGGTACTTAAAACATTAATACTCATTCATGTTTTACTAGTTTATAGGAAAACAGTTTTTTGTTTTTTTTTAAAGATTTTATTTATTTACCTGACAGACAGAGATCACAAGTAGGCAGAGAGGCAGGCAGAGAGAGAGAGAGAGGAGGAAGCAGGCTCCCTGCTGAGCAGAGAGCCCGATGCGGGGCTCGATCCCAGGACTCTGGGATCATGACCCCAGCCGAAGGCAGAGGCTTTAACCCACTGAGCCACCCAGGCGCCC